GAAAATAATTAAATTAACATATATACACGTCAATAATTAATGCAAATATAAACAAATAAAACAACCAAAATGAAAATTAATACTAAATAAATATCAGGAATATCCTTTTTAAAACGAAAATTGATGCGTAGCTGGATATGCTAGGTTGAGGTGTACCCTGTTAGGCTTAGGTACTCATGCCCACTCAGGTGCGCTTTGCATGTTGCCTTCTACTCAGGTTGAGATCCCTTGCATAGTCCAGTGAGAGTCCTGTAGTGTGGATATATAAATATATACGGACTATATAGATATTTTTGAGTTGGTTATAATGTATATGCGTATCGAGTCTCTACTTGAATTGCAGAGATTACTAGTCACTCTTCCGATGATGTAGGACCTCTCTCCATGGGTTAATTTTGGATGTCTTGTAGTTTTATTTCAGTTTGGATTTTTGTATTAGGGGTCCAATGGATGGATTCCCGAGTTGTTTTGTTATTGGAGGTTTTGGATCTAAGTATTTAATTTTAAAGGATTTTATTTTTAGTTTCTTCCAGCTGTTAATTATTTCTTATTTCGTTTTGTATTCTGTGTTCGTTTTAAAATATTAATTGTTTGATATTCCCTTGAGTTCGGGCGTGGGCCTGATCAACCCGTGTCTCTGATCCGAGGGGTATCATACCTTGTCTTTGTCCTTTGGCTTAGACGAGGGTTCTTTCTTGGAGCTGAAATCAATAAAGGACTCCGCTTCTATAATAGCCGTGACAAGGTATTGCACGTTGCACCGCCTCAACTCTGTCTTGGCCCACAACTGCAAGCCATCCATGAAAAAGAAAAGAGAGTCCTTGTCGGATAGATCCGGGATCTCAAGAGTCAAGTTAGTGAATTCCTTCACATAGTCCCGGATCGACCCAACCTGTTTTAGCCGTCGGAGTCTGCCCCTGGCTTCATCTTCGGCATTCTCAGGATAGAAATACTTCTTAATTTCTCTTGTGAAATCAGCCCAAGTATCAATAGAGACCGTACATTTGCCCTTGTCACCGTACTTTTTCCTCCACCATAGCATGGCATGGTCAGTAAGGTAGAGGGTTGCCGTGCGTATCTTGATGGTCTCATCTGTCATATCCGTAGCCTCAAAGTACTGCTCCATGCTGAAGAGGAAGTTCTCCAACTCCCTCGCTACCCTGTTCCCACCATAGCACTTAGGCTTGGGAATATCAACCTAGGGAGTTACTACCCCCGTAGTAGCTGTGCCGGACGCCACTGCCCGCTTGCATAATGCCCAATCCGCTCATATTTTCTCCGTTTGCTCGCGAAAAGTGCTAAGCTCCGGATTAACATAACCATGTAGGGTGGCAAACTCGCCCAACATAAGTTCCCGAAGTGCTTGGAGCTCCTACTGAAAGTCACCACTTAGGGCATTGAGTGACCCTTTGATAGCATCTTGGACCTCAACGTCCTCCAACTCCAGTTCGTCTATGCACTGGTAAGCATCCTCAAGCTACCCTTTCACGTTGGCCATGGACTTCTCTATGTTTGCCAAACGTGCCTCTAAGCCCGCAACGATGTCCTTCGACTTAGCCCTCGTCCTCGGTTCGACTGGAGGGCGGCTTTCATCCATTCCATGCAACTCATCCTCCTGGATGTTAGTCATGTCTGAGTGCTCCGCCATAGCTTCCTTTACACAAGGTGTGACGCCTCACGACCTTAGCTTTGATACGAATTGTCACGGACTTGGACCTTTCCAAGCTCACATGCGGCTTTAGACACTTTCAAGCCCCCTTGAAGCGCTAAGTCAGCCTACCCAAGTATGCTAGCTTAGTGAAGACTAAGGCTAGACAAGTGTTTTGCTTACTTAAGTGTGTATGAAGAGATTAGGCAAGTGAGTAAGAGAGTTTGGGAATGTATAGAATTTGTATTGCTTACAAGGAGAAGATTACAACTTGGCTGCTTGGTGAGGAGTAAATGAACTCCCACCTCTTATTTATAGGCCTTTGTCCCTTACAAGAACATTCTAGATGTGTACAAATGTGTGGCCTAGAATAAGTGTCTAGAATCCTTCAAAGAACTATCTACACAATTCAAGAACTATCTACAATGTACAAGATAAGTCTAGAGAATTCTAGAGAATTTTATACAACTCTAGACAAGTCCAGAAGAGACTAGACAACTCCACACTATTCTAGAGAATTCCAGAAAGTTCCATACTTGTGTAAAGAAGTCTAGAAAACTCTCGGTCCATGCAGGCTGTCATGTCATCGTTGGCTGAGCGTCTACGTAGTGCCTGCGTGGTGTAGCCTTTTGGTTGCAGGGCTGACACAAAGCTCCAAATACCCCAGTTATTGAAAGGAAAAAAAAAAAAACATTGACTTATACTTAAGTACAATACCTCAAGTTTAATACAACCTTTTTTTTCTTTCTAATGTGCCATATTACAATGCTCTGAGGTAGGGGAGGATAATTCTTTTTTTAGTAATATATCTTACTATTTTATTCATTTTGACATATATATATATATATATATATATATATATATATACTAACACCCCGGAAATTACTTAAAAAATTATACTATTGCCCCTCCTCACACAATTTCTAAATTAGTCCTTACCTCAAGATACTTACATGTGGCACTCCCAAACCACTAACTCGTTAACAACAACTCAGTTTGTTGCATTAGATTAAGTTAAGAGAGAGATTAAAAGAGTCAATTTTTAAAGTTTTTGCATTAATATTATTTAAGCTAGTATAAAGTTTAGTCTTGTCCAAAGAGATTACCCGCAAATCTTAAGGGATCAAGTTGGTTAAGAACGAGACAGAAGTTTAATGTGGACTGCAGAGCTTTAATGTTCCCATTTTAATCACCAAATTCGAAATTTTTTTTTTCTTCCCTGCTTCACTTGATAATGATCGATATAAAATTGTTATTGTATACATACATTGCTTTCTGGATTAAAATTGTTATTGCTTCAACACTACAGACTTGTATTAATGGACACCATGTTTTTGACTTGTTTCCAATAAACTTCTCATCAAACGTCTTTCACAATAATATTTAGGGGAAACTAGCTTAACAAGAAAATTGTTCCCATTGTGCCTCTGGGCTGTGTTTGTATAGTTCTATTGCGTTAGCATTGGGCTAACTACTACACTGTATCTTTCTCCATTTTAATATTAACTTTAACTTTCAAAAAAAAAAATAAAATAAAATAAAAAATTGTTTTCTAATGATTGCTATCATAAAATCTATATTTTTTTTTCAACAAAATTATTCAACATTTAGTGATTTTTCTGGTATATGTTGTGATAGGGTGGTGATGTTTGCATTTCTTTTTTTTTGAATACTGCATCACTTTTATTTATTTATTAGTTTGTCATATCAAATAATTTAATCGCCCATTTTGCCTCTTGAACCTTTAATCTTCAATTTTGATAGGTAGAGAACATAAACAGAGTCATAACCCTTGGTGAGAACAAATATTGATCAATTAATTCTAATTAAAGTCGCACACATATGAGTATTTATCAATTCAGATTGTATTAAAAGTAATGAAGAAGGGTTTATGTGACAATGTTCGGGGCTTTGTCCTACTAATTCACGAGACTCATGCAAAGCGCACTCCACACTAATTAGGTAAAATTTGAACTATGTCCGCTAGCATGGATCCTAATGAATTGTTTGCACCGAAAAGAAATCAATAATGAGACCTTATAGCACCGGGCTCAAGTATTTTTTCAACTAGGCCAATATTTAGGGTCATAAAATGAAGTGTTATATCATCTGTTACTGAACTTTGGTGGGAATTTAATTTAGGAGAATAATTAAAATTTATATAAATAAATATTTATTGTTTTAAAATTTATATCAAGGAAATTTTAATATATAATATATTCATCCTGTTAAAGTTCTACAAAATGTATTTGTCTTTTAAAGAAAAAGTAGGGGTTGAAACACAAATAAATAATAATGGTGATACATTCAAAATGTTTCTTGCCACATAGATTTCGTGAAGTGTAAGTTTTTATTTGTCGGGCTTAGAAAAGTTTCCCAATCCTAATGACAAAACTATTTTAGCTTGAGTGCTCATTTGAAAATTTGATAGTCGAACAAATTTAAAATAATCACAATATCACACCTCACCATCACGTGATGTGACCATTTCGAATCAGTCCAACTGCAGGACTCCAAATTATTTTTCTTTAACTTTTGTTTATCTAAAGAATTATAATATTTATTCATTTCAACAAGTATGGCCAAATGCCATGATGCATTATTGGGCCAAATTTTTCGGACTGAATACAATTATTCTTATAGGAATTTGTTTGGTTCAAGGAGGTACTCAAATAATTCTTTAACTTTGTCTACAATTGTTTCATATATATAACAAAGCAAATAAGGACAATACTAGCTGTTTATACAGAGAACTCCAAAATAGGTCACAGAAATGGGAAATCCTTGAAAAAGATTAATTATATCAAAATTTATATTCAGCATTGCGTGCTTAATCTGAAAAACATAATATCGAACATAATTTCAAGGTGCGTTTAGAAAAATCATCCATCTACATTTGTAATCTTACCGACAAAATCGATATCCCAATCCCATCACACACACCTTAATCAAACATTGTGATCGAATATTATTATAACAACAAACAAGTGGTCCTTCTTTTCCCACAACAAAAACTGACTACAGGTTCAAATTAACCTATTTATATCATTGTTCTTGGTAGGGAAGAAAGATTCATGATTTGTTTTATTTATATATGGTTTCATACATGAATGTTGATGGTAATTATTTTTAAAATTGTAATTTTTAATTGAATATGCCAACATTTTTTTTTCTTAATTAATTGAGACGACATTGAAACTAATGAGTTTCCCAATCACTTCTTAATTTACAATTACAACAATAACTATTAGGTATTCAAATGACGACAATAAATGGGTGAAAAACCAAGTGCATATATTACTTAGTTTGCATGATTAATTAAACTATCCTCGATTATACCAACAATGGGATAGTGATTTTTAGGAAGGATAGTGAGTTACAGAAAGGAATAGAGAATCACAAAAACGTGTGGCGTGTTGTGTGTGTGTGTGTTTCAAGAGGAGAGGGAGAATATATGTCTTTTTTTTTTTTTTTTTTTTTTATTTATCGAAAATGGGATTAGCATAGAAAGGCTGATAAGAAAAAGGGAGTGATAGAAAGGAGAAGTTGGGCGTTGAACACAAAAGAAGACAGTCTTTGGAAAGGGAGTTGAATAGTCTTTATCGTAGATGATTGCAGACTGCCTTTGTTTGTATGGTCAGTCACATGGATTCCCCCTGCCTGCACCCAACACTCTCTCTCTCTTACTGACTGACTCTCTCTATGTTTTCCTTTTTCTCTCTGTCTCTCTCTCTGTCTCTGAGCACTTTTTTTTTTCTTTTTCTTTTTTTTTTTCAATATAACTCTTGTAATTTCCTTTTCCATCATCTGCTAGATGTTATGTTAATTAGTACTCAATCAATGTTAGTTTCTATGGAAATATTAATTGGGTACATGGTTTTTCTTATATAAGTGTGTGTTACACACTCCTTCGAATACATGTATTCCTCTCTATCAACAATTGTTTACTAATTGGAGCAATACTAAAATAAGAGAGAGAATCACTCTCTCTCACACACACCACACAATGTTTACTATGTGATTGGTCCAAGTTGGTTTGGTGTAGAGTGTACACTACATGTTGTTTTATTAAGGAGTAAAAGCCTTTAAAAGGAGAGAAATAGATCCCTTCTTGGTCAAGAATTTAGAAGTACTTTAGAGATAAAGAGAGAGAATGGCCTTAGAAGCTGTGTTCTTCAAACAAGACCCGTTTAGTTATGACAGCAAAGATTTCTACAGTCCTTCGGGATGTGTAGGAGGTTACGGCTTTGGCTTTGGCTTTGGCTTTCAAGAAGATCAAAAGGTCAACTCCGAAACTATGACTATGATGGAGCAAGGTTTCAATGGATATTTGGACACTCCATCATCATTGATTGTGCAAAGCGTGAAGGTGCCTGGGGAGACCATCTCTTCTTCCCTAGAGGTTTTCACAGATGAAGGATACTTCGCCGGAGCTGGCTACACTAAGTCTGTAGCTCCGGTACCCAACTCATGCCGGCGAAAGAGACGGCGCACTAAAAACTGTAAGAACGAGAAAGACGTGGAGAACCAGAGGATGACTCACATTGCTGTTGAAAGAAATCGCCGCAAACAGATGAATGACTATCTCGCCGTCCTCCGATCTTTGATGCCGCCTTCTTACGCTCAAAGGGTACTCTCTCAATCTCTCTCTCAAAAATATAATTTAATATACATCAATCATATTAATGATATAGTATTACCCATTGATACTGACCCGAAAGATAAAGGTAAAAAGATTCAAAATCTTTATCCGAATCCCGCTCGAACAATAAAAAGTTGAGGTAAATTAATGCAGCTTGATTGGAGTAGTCCTAGTTATATGAAAGTAGGTAGGTCCGATATGATTAAATATTGTGTTAGTGTTGTATAGCTTTTCTTTGCAATAATTGAGGTTTTACTCTTTATTTTAAGTAGGGGGACCAAGCATCAATAGTAGGGGGTGCCATTAATTTTGTGAAGGAACTTGAACAACTCCTCCAATTCTTGGAAGCACACAAGCAACTCAGTCAACAACAGTCGTCCAACATGGGTTACTCTCCTTTCTTCACCAATTTCTTCCACTCACCCCAATACTCGACTCGTTCAACTCGGCAAAACAACTCAGTGGCGGACGCTACCCGCGAGCCGGTGGCCGAGATCGAAGTGAACATGGCGGATACCCATGCCGATATCAAAGTACTAACAAAAAGAAGACCGAGACAGCTCTTGAAGATGGTGACCGGACTTCACTCGCTCGGCCTTACCATCCTCCATCTTAATGTCACCACTGTTGATCATATGGTGCTCTATTCTTTCAGCGTCAAGGTTGGTTATTTTACATGTAAACTTTTACTTCATATTTATTTGACAAATATATGAAGAGGAAGTTGATTAATTTACAAATAAAATTAAATAATAATTGAGAACCCTTGTCTAGAATTAAATATAGATTAGAAACATTTGTGAAAAACACAATGAACATTAATGGTTTTTTTATTTCAAAATGACAGCAAACTACTCCTTAATTTAAGTCTATATTATTGAATTTATTGTTATAGATTCTGTTTTTCTTGGAAGTTATTACTGTTTGCATACCATTTTTAAATTTTTTTTTTTTTTTTTTTTAATATGGCATTTTTTTCTTCTTCTTTCTTTCTTTCTTTCGTTTTTTTTTTTTTTTGGGATTGGAGACAGGTGGAAGATGATTGTCAGCTGAGCACAGTGAATGAGATAGCAAATGTTGTGCATGAGATGGTGGATAAGATTCAAAAGGAGGCCATGTCATGTTGAGAAACCCTAAGTTCTCTTGTGATCGGCAAATTATTTTCCCATGTTATGTAATTGAATTATTAGTAGTTGAAATCATAGGTTTAAGGTTCCGACTTTATTGTATTATATATATATATATGTTTCTAGGAACATGATGTACCATGAAATGGTTGAAGTGGGAGCATCTTTTTGCCAATTCAGTGCATCTGCCAATGAAAAGCTGATTATCTATAATGAGGGTATCTTCAACATTTGAGTGAAACTAATCCTTCAAATGTAGGTACATGCCCTTAGATTCGTGTCTGGAATAATTTGAGCTAGATGTGACCCGAAGAGATTAGGGAATCTTATTTATATTTAGAGTGAGTCTAAAAAAATCTAGTGAACCCTAAACACAAGGCATGATCCAAAGCACTTTGGATTTGTTTGGGTCGGTAGTCTAAAATAGGATAATTACATAAATTTTTGTACCCCTACTTATCATTTTATGAAATCAAAGTTATGTGGTTTTGAAATAATGAATTTGAGCAAAATACTATACTGGCATGACACCGTTCAATTATTTGAAATGCCTAAAGAGTCCTTTTTATTGTTGTTGCAAAATAACCCTAATACCCCTCGGCCCAACCTTTACCATATTTATATATTTAGAGAGAGAGAGAGAGAGAGAGAGAGAGACTATGTTCAGTGATAAATAGAGAGACTGTGTTACATATCTTGAGAATTTGTGAGGAAGAGGGGTAAAAAAAAAAAAGTGGGTTATTTAGTAAAGTTGGTGGAGGGATGTTAGGGTCATTTTGCAACAATAGTAAAAAGGACTCTTTAGGCATTTCAAATAATTAAAAAGTGTTTCTCTATGTCCGTGTTCCATTATGGGATTGGATAAAAGTCTCAAGTAAAAATTGAAGTGTGGGAGCTTGAGCCACTACACCTTCTAATATAATCTAACATTATATTATTTTTTAATTTTTTAATTTTTTAATTTTCTAAAAACAAAAAGTACTATTAGAAACATTGAACGCTAGCTCTGACATTATCTTTTGAATTAACACCAAGACACCCATCTATGACTTTTAAATGAGAATGCAAGACAGGGAACAACAAAAATTGTCCATTAGTGGTCCACGAATTCCAAATTTTGGGCCTACAAGGGTGGGTAACCTGTAGATTAGGAGTGGGCCTTCTCAATAAAACAAAAAGAGTATGGCCCGGGTTTATTTATTTTTATTAGAATAACTAGAAAAGATTGGGATTTCCATATTTGGATAGTTTTAACTTCAAACCCTTAAAAAGAATCCACTTCCTCTCGTCCATCCCATCCCATGACTGATAAAGTGATAAGTGATAACATAGGCTAAGCATGCAGTTGAAATTTTTCTGAAAAATGAACAAAATATATAATTATTCTGTTAAATAAAAGTGTTTATTTTTCTCCATTTACAGGAAAAAAAAAACACTATGATGCTTCTCCTTGTCATTTTAGCATATATGGTCTTATCATTGGTTGGGAGGTCGACCAAAATTTACATGAGATAAAGTAATTAAAAATGATTTAAAACACTTAAATTTTAAAAAATGGATAATAGAAGAGAAAGGTAAAAAAATAGAATTTATGAGACAGACTCCATCTATAACTTATAAAAGCAAGAACTATGTTGATGTTTAGGCACGAACTCAACATAAGACCAGTGGGGGCAGATGCCCCCACTAGATTTTTAATATTTTCATTTTATACATCATTTTTTTAAAAAAATTTATGAAGATGCCCCCACTAAAATTACAATTCGCCCCACTGAATTTTGTTTTTTTATTTTGCATTTTATATCTCAATTTTTTAATAATTTATGAAGATGCCCCCACTAAAATTGTATTAATTTTTTAATTGCCCCCACTGATTATTATTAATTTTTTTTTACATTTTATTCTTTAACTTTTTTTACATTTTATAATTTTTCTTTTTTTAAAATTACAAAAATAAACTCACAATATAAATTTATCTTTAAAGACCTTACCCCACACAAAATTTCTCGAGTCGGTCACTAATGATGGTGGTGTGACCATTAGCCCCAGGGTGCTACCCAGTTTAACATCTTTCGCTGTGGGGTCACCTCCATGGCTGTGTTGTCTCATTCTTACTCATCCCAGCTTTATGGTCTCCTATTGTTGGGCCCATTTACTATTTGGGCTTTGTACTACCTATTCCAGACCAAAAAAAGTTGTGAATTTGTGTTGAAAAGAAAAAATAATAAAGTTAAGGGGTTTACTTGGTGTATAAATTTTAAAAATAGCTTTAAAAAATTTAGAAAATAAAAAATTATTTTTAGAGAAATATAAAAGACACTATTGGAAAAGAAACATTTTTATAATTAAGTTTTTTAAAATAGTTCTCAGAAAATAAACGAAGCATAGTTTTTATACAATTTTTTATTTTTAAAGTTACAAATCAAGCAGCCCTAAGTTGCTTTTTGCTTATTTTCTCCTCATTCAAAATTAAGGATCTGCTTGGTTTGAAATTCTGAAAACAGAAAATTGTAGTTCAGTTTTTCTTTTTTTTCCTAAAAATTTAGTTATAAAAAGATATGTTTTCAGATAATTTTTTAAAATTACCCTTTTCTAAATTTATAAAAAAAATTACATTTTTGTTTGTATATTTTTTTTAAAAAATTAAATTTATTCTCTCTGAAATTTTTTTATTACATTGTGCCACCTGAACATAATTTATGTTTCAGTCTCTTTAAGAGTCAATAAAACATTGTCACTATATTTGATCGGAATGGACTAGTGGATGAATTTTTTGGAAGAAACAGTAAGAAAAATGTTCAAATAAGAGATTAAATGGTTTGCAATCCAAGACAAATATTCTTCGCAAAAGTTTCAATAATTATAAACTTGCAACACTTATTAACCAACAAAGTGGTAACTATTTGGTAAAGTTGCGGTAAAATTTCAACAATGTTACATATATACATATATACACACGTGTGTGTGTGTGTATATATATATATATATATATGATTATAGGGACTTAAGATGAAACATGTCTTTCAGTGACAGCTATTTCGTAGCAATGATGGTTCTATATTTGCGGGGAAGAGACACCCTTGTGCGGACTCGTTGCAGGTTCTTTAAAGTAATATCAGAAGACTTTCGTCAATAAAAACATCAATTACACGCCCAACAATGATAGACCAAAATAACAAATTCCTCATTCCAATTCTCTGTTTCATGATATTTTAGCAACTAAATTTTTAGTAGCATATTTGTGTTTTAATACTCAAGACATTTTTGCAATAAGCTTGTGAAACTATAAATTTTGATTTCGACCTGATTAGAATATTTCGCTCTGTCCCATAATAGTTAGGTATTATGGGATAAGGAAGTATGTTATATATAATTTTATCCTTTGAAGATAGTGCATTTATCAATATATATATATGTGTATATATATATATATAATTAAGACCTGATTAATACACTGAATTAATGACTTCAGTTTTGCTAAAATTAAGACTCATTTTGATTAACCTTTTAAAAAAATAAAAATAAATAAGACTTGTAAATTTGTTAAGGTTGTGGAGACTGCATCACAATTTTTTATTTATTTTTTTCTTTTGGAGATTAATTATGTTTTATACCTGTGGACGCCCTTTGTATGTAAGTTTTCTTTTTCTTTCGTGTTAAGGTTGCTAATGTTGAAAAGCTAGCACTCGAATTTGTTAGGGTGTTGTAAGAGCTCTATGTTGTAAACACCCATCATCGATAGTGAGATTTGTTAGGATTTCGTGAGAGCTTTCTATTGTTAACTCCCATTATTGATAGTGAAATTTTTTATGGGTTCCGTAAACATAGGCAAAAATTTTGCCCAGTAATTTTGTGTTTATTGTGTGATTGTTTTTCCATTCCTAACACAATTTAGTGAGGACATCACAAGAGAGGTCACCTGAATAGATGTCTACAATTATTTGCACAAACCTGTACAAGCATGTATGCCAAAAGACCTTTTGGAGAGAGATGTTTCATCTAGCTGGACTATATACATATATAGATCAGGATTTTTGAAAAAATCATAGACAGTATCATTGACCTTTCTAAAAGTTCATATCATGACAAACACACACACACACACACATATATATATACATACATACATGTTCAATATTCACAAAGCTTGAGGAGATTTGATTCTCACAAGAAGTTTGAAACAGCAAAAAAGCTATGGGAGCTCAAAAGAAAGCTGTAAAGCCACCCAAAAGTACTTTTGTACAAGAACGGTTCCCAGAAGTTCTTACTTTCTAAGTTGCTATTAATACATGTACGTAGCATGTGATTATGACAAGAGTTGACTGAAAAACACTTGCATGTTCTTTTTCTACTGACAAATTCTGCTCAACGATTCACTGATAACATGAGATTTACAATATATTCAGCAATCTGTGTGAAATTTAAATTTCAGCAAATCAACAACTCATTATAATAAGATTCAATCCACAAATGAATTCATTGCAGTCTATGTACAGAACTTGAATTCCGTGCTGTTCTCATTTCATTGTTGAAAAGTCAAAAAAAAATTGGAATCTTACAACAGCCACCTCAACCCCAAACGACTAAGATTTGAAGTTCAAATTTCTGTTATAGTTCTTCCTGGTAATCAGTTATGGATGAGATATTTACATTTGATTCTCTCGATAGTAATGATACAGGACAGTTATCTAGAAAGTAATGATACAGGACAGTTATTTAAAGAGTAATGATATAACATTCGAAAATCGGATGTATCTGACTCAAACTCCATTTATGTGAGTGAAAGATATACATCATCATGATGTTTTTATAATTAATAACATTATTGTAATGTCATTCTCTATTAACATAAAACAATCGAATTGTCCGCCTTTTAGATCATTTATCATCTCAAATGTTGCACAATAATTTACTACAAAAATTGTGTAATCTTATATATATATTTTACTACTATGTTGTACTGTTATGAAATTATTAGACCAAAAAAGGTTATAAATTGATGATACTAGTGCCCATATGTGTTTAGGATTTTAAGTAACTATGTACCATTTTGAGTATACCAACAATTTGAATCACAACAAGAGAACATCACTATAAGTTTCACTATTTGAAACAAAAATCTCTCAATTAGATTTTGATTTGCGCCATAAAGGTTCAAGTGTTAAAAAAAAAAAATTACACTCAAGAATTACCTTTAACCGGATCCTTTGCAATTTTCTACTTGTATATGGAAAGAGTTAATCTTAAAGAAATTTCATATGCAATCTAGCACTGACATTGTTAGTCGATAACCATTCAAAAAAATTCTTCGGCAGTAACATTATAATCAAGATCAGGCAAAGGCCAATACCAACCCAATCCCTAATGTAAAACAAGCCCAACCCACAGGCCGAAACAAGCTAAATAAAAGCGGTTAACT